CAGTTTTTTAAACCAGGAGCTAGCTATGGCTCAGAGTCATATTTAAAATTTACAACTTCAAAAGTACAATAAATCCAAATAAACAATAGTGCAAATCACAAGGAACTCTAATGCGGTGCTCTTGAACTTCAATTAAGGGCGACCTTACTGAGTGCAAGAGTTTATAGTAATACAAACACGTCAACTTTGTTTGTTAGGAGCAAGTACACAGTCCGACAGCACCAAATCCTCTTGTTCAAACATTAGGAGAAAAGAAAGGGAAAAAAGGCAATAAATTGATTTAAGTAAAGCCATTCTTTCATTCTTCATGGAGACTTGTTTATTTTTCCTCCACTCCATGCCCTGGAAAACTTCATCAGGAGTGGAACTCATATCCAATGAAGAAATAACAAGATATCCTGGTTGTGCCATTTTCTAAAGAGCTGCAAATCCATAGTTCATAACCAAGAGACCAGTAGGCTTGACAAAACAATTAAGTTGGAAAATCAACTTTTGTACGGAGTTGTAACCTAAACAACACGTCAAGGTACCAAAATCACCTGATGCATATAGTATAAAAGAAGCTAAGTCTAGACAGGTCCTAGTATAGACATTGTCAAATAAGGCAGTTCTATATATTATTACAAAATTAATGCTTCTCTGTTCTTTGAACAAAATATGGACTAACAACCATTATCCTCATTCAATATGCTCCATGGGGACAGAAATTTAGTAAATGCATTTTCAGTATATGATGGATTAATATGAAGCGGAAACAATTATTGAACGAAAAAGGGGATAAACACACTTATTATATGAGATAAAAAGTACAATACAAGTTCGCAAAAGAAAAGGATCGGTGCAAAAATGAAAAACAATTGCAACAGTTAGATAAGTGTACTATACCTTAAAAGAGCAGTGCCACAGAAATCTTCCTGCAGATGGAGTGGCATCCTTCCACCCACATACATCAAAAAGAACTTTTGCAGGTAACTTATGTCCCCTTTTGGTGACTGCAATTCATTCAACAAACATCAAAATCAACTAAAATGCCTGATTATTGAGCCAAAAAAATCACAACTTTCAACCATTTAAAAGAACTGTGGCTTCAAGAATCCACTGATAACAGCTATGGGGTTTAAAAGTTCTTATTTTGAGTACTATTCACCTGAACAGATTGTTGATAAAGTAAGAACTTTGAAGGAACACCATTGTTTGATGGGCTTTGACTAATTTCATTGTCTTCTTCTTCTTCTTCTACTTCTTCCTCCTCCTCTTCTTGGGATTCATCGTCATTTTCTTCAGAATCCCTTTGCTCTATATACTGTTGTTCCTCTTCTTCTTCATTGTGGTATGAAAAGGCTCTTCTACCTCTGCGCTGCTGCTTCTGCTGCTGCTGCTGACTTAGCCTTTTCCCGTGTTTCCCCATTTTTGGTTAAGGGCAGCAAGCGCAACAAGGCACAAGCAAGACCGGGGGGCTTCAGTAAAACCCACAAAAGAGGTACCACGAACACTACTGTATCTCACGCTTTTATATGGCAGTGAAACCTAGTAGCGTGCTGCCAAGAACGCTTTCCTTTCAAGGCTTATTAGAACTTAGAAGGGTAGTTTTGCAAAAGTTATGAAGTCCTATTTTAATACGTTTAATTCCATTTTGCACCCTCAACCATACTCCCGTAGTCCTATTCTCACTTTAGTGTCTAATCTTTGTCTAATCTTTAAATTATGCCACCTTAACTCCCAAATTATACCATGATTCCTACTTTATTTCCTAAATTTTAAATTATAACACTTGAATTTTTAAATTTTTCCCAAATTTCCGCTTTAGATCCTCCAAAATCCTTTCTTCCCTCTATTTTTAGAAATTTTTTGGTTATTAATATTCCTTCTCTGCTCTTGCAACGTGCAACTCTACTGCTCAAAAAAATGACTAGTATTTTGTTAGTTTTTAGATCCCATTTATGAATGTACTTAAATGAGACAGTTTTTATAATTTAAAAACTAAAGTATTCCAATTTATAATTTAAGATCAAAGTGAGATATGAGGTACAACTTTAACAACTAAAGAGTGTAAAGTAAAGTTAGTCCATTTTGTTATTCATCTTTTATTATGGGAATTTTGCTATATCTGAAGTGTAAAAAACAAAAAGTCCCATGTGGTAAATCTAATATACAGAAAATCCTCCGGCACTTTCAAAACGTACGACATGACATTTTATGCTTTGAACTAAACTGTAAAGGTGACGGAATCCGTTAAATTTAATGGAACATAAAAAAAAAATTTATACCTAATTTTTAACAAATATACATGTTCTATCCCTCAACTCTCAATTCTCTCTATCTAGAAAATAAAACAAATGATTTTTTTGAGTTGGCTTTTGTTTAATTATATCAGGGCATTTTGGTCATTTCATCCATTTCCGTTAAGTTTAACGGATTCCGTCACCTTTACAATTTAGTTCAAAGTATGGAGTGTTATGTTGTATGTTTTGAAACCACGGGGAGCTTTTCTATATAATAGATTTATCATTGGGAGTTTTTTTGTTTTTTACCCTTATCTAAAACAAGTACCCCCACCACTTCTTTTTGTAAATATATTTTGTCCCTTTCACCCTTTAAAATTCTAACTTTTTGGATATTGTAATTTTAGAAGTGACTAATTTTGTACATAGTAAATTCGTATAAGCCAATAATGTCCTTCTGTTTGATTACTGATTGCAATTATAAGGTCACAATATTTTCCCAACGAATAAGACCAACAAAATTGTGAACTAAAAAGTGATGGTAGGCCTTCAGTAGGAAAAGGTTGATCACTATTCCTGAAAAGAACTAAGGTAGGGACATATATTCTAGATTATGTGTTGATACTTTTGTATAACTTAAAAATATATAGATCAACCCAAATTAAGGACGTATTACATAACATAAAGTAGTACACATGCAATATCAAACCGATTGTGGAAGAGCACTTCACTATTCTAAAACAAATTGTCTTTTCTCTTTTTATTTCAACAACATAAAAGCTTAAATAAAAGAGTTGAAAAGAGACTAATAGGTACAAATTTACAAGTTAGATATTAGGAGGGACATAAAATCCCTAAAGTCCTTCTTTGAGTCTGTAGGTCAGGGTTCAAACCATAGTTATTAAACCCGATCCGGTCCGACGGTCGAACCGGTCAAACCGGTGGACCGGTCATTAGATCGGGCCGGGTTTGGAATCAGATCGTTTGTGCAAAGAGACCGTTGACTTAGTCAACAACCCGGCGGTCGAACCGGATTAAACCGGAACGGCCGGTTTTGTCACTAACCGGATTTTGTGGAAAAATTATATTGCTATTGTTGGAACTCGAACTTCGGACCTCTGCCCCAACAGTACCGCCTGCTTACCACCAAACTACTTCCAAATATGTTGATATAGTAGCTTTATTATGATATATAAATGGTTTTTCAATTCTATCTTTTTTTCTCTAAAACAAATTTATTTGGAATCTTTTAATAAAAATTTATTACCCTCCAAACTCTATAAGTTATAAAATGGATTCCAAAAATAACATATTACATGATTCATTTAAAGACAAATATTATTTTAATAATTTTTTACACTTAAAATTCATAAATAAGCTAGATAATTACACTAAATATAGATAAAATTTTACACTTGAAGTTTGGTATATTAATAAATAACTTTATATTTGATTGATTCTTATATGAATTAATTATTTTATAACAAATTAAATTAAATGAGCTTTTGTTATGGCATTATTTATTACAATTTATATCATATATCTTATATAAATAATTATGAAATATAATATTTAAATATATGTAGTGACCCACCGGTTCAACCACTCACCCACCGGTTCAACCAGTAACCCGTTGACCCACCTCCTTCGCCGGGTTCCTTCCTGGGTTGGGTTTAATAACTATGGTTCAAACACCGTACTAAAAATTTCATAAGGCAAAATTCTGTTGAATTTCCTTTTCATACTAGAGTAGGATAATATAGATGTGTAACATAGATAGATAGGGGTCCAAATGATGCATTTTGAAACTAAAAAGCATATACAAAGTATCTATTGCAGCAACTCCTATAGAACCTATTTGGGTTATGATACTTTTGGTAAAAAAAAAAAAGTATTTTTGGAGGATAAAAACACTTTTATAATGTGTAGTGAGCATCGTTTTGAGCAGGGTTTTTTGCCCTTGAAGGACTTTTAGCACGAACTCAAAATTGGTGCTTTTAGAACAACTGTTGTATTTTCCAAAAAAATTAACTTTAATCATTTATTAGAAATTTTGAACTAAATGAAGAGATAAATATGCATCATAAATTCAAAATTATACATTATCAATTTGAAAAGCACTTCATGCAAATATGCGTCTATTAATTGAAGAGCATTTTAATTAATCACGGTAACCAAACAAACAGTCACTTGGTCTAAAACAATTTAAATAGGGACATAACTCCATTGGGTTTCCTTTTGTAATTTGGAAAAATTGTACCAATCGTCCTTCACGTATTATTGATGTAAATTTGTAGCCCTTTGGACTTAAAATGAACGATTTTAGCCCTTAACAAATATAAGATGCTCAAATTATATCCAATGATTTCTAGGATCCTAAATATCAAGATCCATGAGAATTTTGAATCCAATAATCCGCAAATAAGGGACCAAATTTCCGTCAAAAAGTTGACTAAGGATAAAAAGCGAACCCTTTTTTTATTTATTAGGGACCACAAACACTCATTTTGATTCTAAAAAACTAAAATTTCACATCAATAATAATATGTGTGAGACGATTTGTGCAATTTTTTTCTACTAATTTTCTCCCAAATAAAAAAAGTACTTGCATCGTCAATTTTTTAACCAGTACCTAATACTACTACTATCACGCTAACGCCATGCAGGAACCGTACCCCGTCTAGATTAAATCTCTAGTGGGGTTGCCACCAAAATCCGGAAAAAGAAAAGAATTTTCCATTTACTGGCTACTTTGTGATTTGCCGCTTTGCTTGGTCTAGCGCCTTGTGAAGTGCTGATAGTATTCGGATTCTTGCACTTCCCGCATCATTTATTCGGGTTGTAAATTTGTCAGCCGTGGCTGGCCGCGTCTTCTGCTCACGCGTCTAAGATTCGAGTCAACTAACGCAAAATTCCTCTACTCGTGTTCCTATATTCTTCATCAAAACTCCTTTCAATTTCACCATTATTCACAATTTCTAGGGTTCTTCGATTTTTTCTTAGTTTCCCCCAAATCTTCCCCTCGATCAACCTATATATATACATATTTCTAGCTAGAGGGAAGAACTTGTTGATTTATGATTGGAGAATATGTACAGTAATTTCAAGGAGCAAGCCATCGAGTATGTCCGGCAAGCAGTTCAGGAAGATAACGCCGGGAATTATGCGAAGGCGTTCCCGTTGTACATGAACGCGCTGGAGTATTTCAAGACTCATTTGAAGTACGAGAAAAACCCTAAGATTCGGGAAGCGATTACCCAGAAGTTTACCGAGTATTTGCGCCGTGCCGAGGAGATTCGCGCTGTTTTAGACGAGGGTGGTGGTTCGGGACCGGCGGCGAACGGCGATGCTGCGGTGGCCACGCGGCCGAAGGGGAAACCCAAGGATGGTGGTGGTGGTGAGGGAGATGGGGAGGATCCTGAGCAGGCTAAGCTTAGGGCTGGGTTGAATTCGGCGATTATTAGGGAGAAACCGAATGTAAAGTGGAACGATGTTGCTGGATTGGAAAGTGCTAAGCAGGCTTTGCAGGAAGCTGTGATTTTGCCCGTTAAGTTCCCCCAGTTTTTCACTGGTTAGTGTCTGCCTGATTTTGATCTGATTTTTGTTGGATTGATGAATATTATGTAGTCGTTGGTAATCAAATATGTTGTGTTAGTATTTGGGAGTGGTGAATTCCAGGGGTAAAGTTCCATGCCTTACTGTCTGTTATTGTTGGGCATATGGGAATTTATAGGTAAAAATTTGTCGCTTTTTAGCTGGATTTTGTGGGGATTGGTGAACTTAGTGGTAAAGTTGCAAAATTTTCTACCTATAATTCGTCATTATTTGGATGGGCAAGTTAATTTACTCAAATTAGTTGAAATTCTTGAGGTTGTTTTGTCTTGATAAGTAGTAGGATCCAATATGTTGGTGATAGTCTGGAGCTTTCTCCTAGCTATCAGGGTTGAATGTCAGCTTTGTCGGCATTAGATTAATTTAGTAGCTCGTTGCTTATTTGATAGGGAATCAGGTTTCAAGTTTTATGTTGAGCTAAATTTTACTACATCCTAAGGAGTTTGTTTAACTTTAGGTTTTATTTTGGGGAAATAAGCTAGATGGTTTAAGGAGACAAGTGTGGTTCATATAACAGAACCTAGTTTGGCCGGACAAAATTTTGATTAGATGATGTCAGAAATGCCATCAATTCTTGCATGAGTTAAACTAGGTTCAAGTTCTACTGCCTTTGAAAGCAGACTCTAGACTAAGGTTTGAAAGAATTTATTTCATCTCTAAGACTTCAATCTTACTGAGGCTGTCACTCATTTTACTTAGGCTGTCACTCAGTTTTTATATGAAATGTTTATTTATTTAGTGAAACTTAGTTTTTCTAGAATTAGTGCTTATAAAACGTCTTAAGTTATAATCCCAGTTAAATAATTGGTTCAAACCCAAAATGAAATGGTTGTGTCAGTTTCCAGAGGTCCCTAGATGCATAAATCTTTTTGCATGTTTTCTTTCGAACTATTTTGTGTATTTTATAGCTTGCCAACTCTCATTCAGTACTACTATCAAGTATGGGTTCACAGAGAAAAATATATCTTCTTCTCATGTGATTGGTATCTCTTACAAAAATTTCAAATAACATGAACTGCCTTAATTTTGGTATTTGTCTCCTTTAATGCCAACTTGCGTGTTTTATTCGTGAGTCCATAGATCTGAATATCCTGACACTATGCACCTTCCATAGACATTACTTACCAGGCACCATGATAAGTATAGGTTAGTTGGAGTTTTTTGAAAAGATTTATATGTCCTAATAATTGGAACGTATTTTAGTTCATGCAGTTGATAATATCTAGTCATCTAATAGGTACTATCATCAGATGTTCATCCGTTTGTTGTAAACAATCTGTATTTCATTTAAACTGAATCTGCTTAGCAATCTCGTGTTCTTAGGCAAGAGACGGCCATGGAGGGCTTTTCTTTTATATGGTCCACCAGGGACAGGGAAGTCATATTTGGCAAAGGCTGTTGCTACTGAAGCAGACTCCACTTTTTTCAGGTACAGTATATGGAAACTATCTAAATTAATCTCATAATATTTAAGTTGATGTGGGCTTACAAGCTAGTTATATAGTCATATGTTGGATATTTTCTTCAAGACCTAGAAGTGAAAAGTTTTTGACTAACTTCTTAGTATTTCTTACCTGAACTGCAGAGCCTTTTATTTATTTATTTTTAAAATGTGTTGCTATTGATGCTTATTTTCCACATTTTGCATCCAGTTGTCTTAAAAACAGGAATTATATCTATGCATGGTTTTTGGTTTTGCATGTTTTTCTGTTTTGTATGTTTGTGTGTGCAAGTGTGTCCAGTTAACCTCCTTTTTTGGGGAATTAGACTATTTCATTAATTTGTTGGCTAGCATGTAATGCATTCTTACTTTGCACTGCTTTTGATGCATGACATAAAGAATGAAGAGTGTTAGGTTCTTCAATATTGGTGGCTCTCTGTTTCACTGGATTGAGTTGCATGTGGATAGATTCCTCCATAGCAGCTTTAATACTTTGCTGGATTGAGGTGTATCTTGATGATTTTTGTACTTTCCTTGAACTTGATTGCTTAGAATGTAGATTGTTCTTTTGTTTGTTAATTATTCTTCATGTGATGGAGTTCTCATAAGTCTTATCTGACAAGATCTTTATGTGGTGTGTAAGTTTGCCAACTACAAGACTAAGTACTACGTTGATAGCACGTTTCATTGTGTAAAAGCATGCATGTTCCTTAATGTTTGGTTCAGCATGCAAGTTTCTGTCTTTAATTAGACATGTTATTCTGACAGTGCATTTTGTTTATTGTTTGGTTCGAGACACAAGTTTCTGTCTTTCAAACTATTTGTTCTGATGTTTTGTTTTATTTTTTATTTTTTGTTTTTGAGAATCTGCTTTCAAGAACTTAGAGCATAAAGTTGGCAAGTGCCAACTGCTTCTTTTATGCAGTGTTTCATCCTCAGACCTGGTCTCAAAGTGGATGGGTGAGAGTGAAAAGCTAGTTTCAAACCTTTTCCAGATGGCTCGGGAAAGTGCTCCTTCAATCATATTTGTTGATGAAATTGATTCCTTGTGTGGTCAGCGAGGTGAAGGAAATGAGAGTGAAGCCTCAAGACGTATAAAAACGGAATTGCTTGTACAAATGCAGGTAATTGTTGCATTGTTGCATCTATTAGTCATGTAATTTCTCCTTCTACATGTAGCTTTATCACATTCATTGTATCATGCATAGGATAAAGGTGGGAGAAAGGCATAGGGGGAAGCCATTTACTTTCTCTGAGTGTGCTTTATGGTATCAATGATGAAGCGCAGGGATGATTTCGTGATATGAAAGGGGAAGTGGGAGTGTAGTGTGCAGTAGGGGGAGTGGTGGCTTTTGCATCCTCTGAGATGAAAGATGTTTGCAAGTCATTTAAGCTTGGAGGTTGTACTTGTAACATTTGCATCCTTCCTGAAATTTTCCGCTAGTGTTGAAAAACTTTTAAGGTTTTTTTACTGGCTCTGACATACATACTATTTGGATTTGGACTGTTGCTGAATAGCCTGCAGTGTGAGGCTTTAAGTTTAAGTTATGGGGAAGGCAATAGGTGAAGCTTGAGCTTGTCAACTGTGTCATTTCTAATAGAAAGAGTTAATCCATGTCAAAGTGCCTGAACCATTTAATGATCCCTGGCCTTTTTGTTATTTTGTATCTGCAGTAGTTCCTTGTTTTATTTTTTTGTGTTGGGGGAAAGGGAGGAAAGATTCTTGGTTGTGGGTGTAGAACTGAAGTCATGGACCATATTAACTGTAGTTATTGCCTGGTGAACTGTTTGCCAGATCTCTGACATCATTTTATCAGTTATTGATCCTTTCAATTTTGAATCAGTTGGATACCTCAATTTCATGTTTCTGTAAACAGTTTTCAATATCCTACATGTTTTATCTTGAACTCTTGGTATTTGAATCCAAGATATTGCTTGGAAATTATCTGCATCAACAATGTATCTGATCCAGAATGTTGACCTTATCTTACTTTCAGGGGGTTGGAAATAATGATGAGAAAGTTCTAGTTCTGGCAGCCACAAATACTCCATATGCCCTTGATCAGGTAAGGCGTAGTGTCATATGTTGCTTGTTAAATGACCTACATGCTCTTGAAGGTGTAGTGGTGTGGTAAAAGTTTCCATCATTCTGCAGAGTAAATGCTGCAGTATGTGTCTATGCAGATAAGAGCATTGAATAATGGCACTTTAAAGTACTTTTCTTGATAATCTTCATAAGATATTGATTCTTGACTAATGTGGAATTGTTTCTCCAGGCTATTAGGCGACGATTTGATAAGCGTATTTATATTCCTCTACCGGATCTCAAGGCCCGGCAGCACATGTTTAAAGTAATGATCTCCTTATCTATTTTGTGAAAGATGGTAGATTGAAGATTAGGACATCCAATTCTTTTTCGTAGTTGAATGTGAAATGTTAACTTTTCTGTTGCTTGCAGGTTCATTTAGGAGATACACCTCACAACTTGACTGAGAGTGACTTCGAAGACTTGGCTCGTAGGACAGAAGGATTTTCTGGATCAGATATTTCTGTTTGTGTAAGTGTGGGATTTAGTAAGATTCGACAAGTATATAGTATTCTCCTAAAGAACAAAAATCAATTAATTCCTCACTGGCTTCTCTGTTAAGATTTGTGATTTCTGGAGACTGTGTGTGTGTATGTTTACATTTATTTTTCCTGGTTCTATAGGTCAAGGATGTCCTTTTTGAACCTGTTCGCAAAACTCAAGATGCCATGTTCTTTATAAAGACTCCTAATGGTATGTGGATGCCATGTGGACCAAAGCAATCAGGTGCTGTCCAGATAACTATGCAGGATCTAGCCGGTAAAGGACTTGGTGCTAAGGTGAGATAGATGCTTACATTGGATTCTATGTTAGGGTCAATTCTACTTGGTTTACGATATTAGCTGGATTTTTAATGTCTGTAAGTGCTTGCTTTGTGGCATACGTCATTGCCATGATGGTCATTACAAATACTTATCAGATCATGAACTTGTCAATCTACTGTCATCATGATTACCTCTTGACATCACTGAGGTGATGCTTTGAAGTATAATGATGGAGTATAATATAATGATTCTGGATGATAATATAATGATCGAGTATGTTCCTTTTTGTTCTCGGCAGAATGTTAACTGAGAGTATTTCTGATTAATGTCCATGCAGATAGTCCCACCTCCGATATCTAAAACAGACTTTGACAAAGTGTTGGCAAGACAGAGGCCAACAGTGAGCAAAGCTGACCTTGAGGTGCATGAGAGATTCACCAATGAGTTTGGAGAGGAAGGTTGAGAGAAAGGTTGCATTGGACGTGCTATTTATGCAACTTCCTCTCATTTGTATTCTATATGAACTTTGTGCTGATTGTACGAGCCTCTTTCGGAGGAAAGATACATGGCTTTGCCTTTCTATTCGCAAGAAGTGAACTCTGATACTTCCAATATCAATGTATTTTTTTGTTAAATGTCAAAAAGATGAGTCTGAATGTTGCCTCAATAATTGCGGTTTGCGTCTGGATATTTTTGTATCTCTTTTCTGGTAAATATCTGACATAGTTCTTTAGTTACGTGCTGTTGGACCTTTTAGTCGCCTGCTGAAAGAACTTCTAATTCAGTGTAAATACATTCATCTCTTGATATATTTTTGTTTTCCTTTCTTGATGCATATGAATCTAGGAAAGTGATGAAAAAGAAAGTGCCTGGTTTTGTTGCTGTCATTGTGACCTGGAAGCGTTCATTATTGTAGCTGCCTAGGTTTTTACTTTCGAAAATGAGAAGAAATAGACTGTGCAGCTTTGATTACGCAGGATCTGCATCTTCACTGGGTCTGGAGATGATTCTCCAGATTGAATCTCAATTGCCGATGACCCAGACCAGCTTTTTGTGCTTTTGTCCTTGAGATTTTAACATGGTGGGGCCGTAGCTATCATTTGTTTTTTAGAGCTCTCTGCAAGAAATTTTCTTTTTTAGGCCTCTGCAGGACAATGTACGATAACATAAAATGCTTTTATTTGAATTTTTCAAGTTTTTAGTCCTTCCCTATTCGTGCCAATTCTATGTAGAAGAATTAATTAGTCTTCACTTGTAGGGCATTCAAGAGTAATTAACATATTTGAGTACAAATTCTGGACGGGTTCTACTAGCACTTCATACAAGTCCCCATTGCCGCAAGTTGAAGCAAAAGTTCTACAAGATGTTTTTTTTTGGGGTGGGGGGGGGGGGCAGGTATTTGAACAAAACAAGGCTGTCAGAAGGGCGAATGCCGTATGATGCAGCCCAGACAAAAGTGGTTAACAAAAACAAAAATGATAAAAGGGTATTGAATTATCGATAGCCAGACTCTTTCCTACATGGTGCCTGTTTATTCTTCTGGGTTTTCTTTTTTTTTTTTTTTCCGGAAATGATATTAATCTTATATTGATCATAAAATAAGCTTTACAGTTTGGAGTAAAGGCCTTTATTTTTATACAAAAAGTGCTTAGTAGTACAGAGGATTTATCCATTTCTCATCATGTAAAATGTCTAAAACATAGTCACTAATTCTATTACTAACATGGTTATCATTTTTAGTTGTAAGGTAAAAGGGGCACATGTGAAAACTAGATTCTTTGTGCGTACACTCTTGGGGTCACTCTAGTATTAATGTCTTTATGATATTCTCCTTTTTTTTTTCAGCAACGGTAGAATTTGTATTGATAAACAAAAGATGTACACTTATATGAGCAAAGACTCAAGTGATTCTATACAACAGTGCTAGACACACTGAGAATTGATCCATTCCTCATCTTGACAGATGCCTAAGGCATAATCACTAATCAATTGACATCTAGAATCTAAGCTCCTATCCAAACAAAAAGAGCATTTCTGGAATAAGGACTTCAGATTGTTAATGTCATCAATTATCGTTGCCATTTTGATGTCCTTGGTCTTCCTTACTGTTATCTCCTTCAACAACTGACTGCTGGGGATGTACATTTTAATCTTCTGCCAATGCTGTAGTCTGGCCTTGATGATAGCCAGTTTAACAGCATCCGCAGTAATCTGCAATTGACTTCCTGAGCTTTTGTCATTAAGTGCCCATGCTGTCACCACCAGATTATTGCTGTTAGTTGCAATGATCCCCATCCCAACTCTGTTAGACTCTTTTCGCACTTGAGTTGTCACTCTGATTTGGATTTCATCACTTCCTTCTTCCTTTGCAACTACTTCCTCTTTATCTCTCCCACCATCATCAATGTTGGTTCTCTCCTTTCTCTGAGCTGCTCCCTGCTCCTACTATTCTTGTTGAGCCTTTTGAACAGCTTTCTATGGGCGTCTTTGTTTGGCATTGAACTTCCAATCATTTCTAGTTTTTCATATTTGCCAAAGAATGCTTACTGTTAGCTCTACATGATCCATGCCATTTCTCCTACTTGTGGCTTTCATAATAGCATTCCACCAAGCCAAAAAGTTCCATGTCTGTTCTGTTATTCCATCCCATTGTATTGGCGCCATTTTCCACACCTCTTGAGCTCTTCTACAGTGAACGAACACATGTTCAATAGATTCTTCTTGCTCTCCACATCCTTCACAGATTGGGTCACCTTTATGTGTTCTTCTATATATTAGCCCATTGATTGGTAATACTCCATTTATACACCTCCAGATGAAGTGCTTTAGCTTACTTTAATATTTAGCTTCCACAAATTCTTCCAGATTCTCCTGCTGGATTTAGCTAAACTCGTTTCTTCCTCATTTCCTCTTCTCCCCTCTTTCTTAGTTGTCCCTCTACACAATTCCTTGTATCCTGATTTGATAGTGTAGCTACCATTTCCGCTGTGTAACCAGTAATTGCTATCTTCTCTCCCTGAGATACTGATAGGAATGTCCATGATTTTCTCTGCATCCTTCTGGTTGAAAGTCCTTAGAATTAATGGTCTTTGCCATCTGTAGCCACTAATAAGCTCATCCACTTTCATCATGTTGCTATGCTGCGGTTTCCTAGAGGTGACTTTGCCATCCTTGTTCCCAGGGATCCAGTTATTTTCCCATATGTTGGTAGCGTTGCCATTACCAATCTTCTTCCTAGTTCCATTTGTCACAAACTCCCTGACATCCATCAAACTTTGCCAAATTTAGGAAACATTCTTAGGTATTTTGCACTTAAAAATTGAGTCTCTATAGAAATGCTTTGCCTTCAAAACTTTACTGACTAAAAGATTTGGTTTGGAGATCAGCCTCCATACCTGTTTTGCCAGCAAAACTTTGTTAAAGTTCTGTAGATCCTTGAAACCCAATCCTCCCACTCTTTTCTCCTTTGCCAGTTTCCACCATGAACACCAGTGCATTTTATTTTTTCCTTCAGCTTCTCCCCACCAGTAGTTGGCAAACATGGAGGTCACTTCTTTACAAAGCTTGTTTGACAGCTTATTGCCTGACATTGTATAGACAGGCATAACCATGGATATTGCCTTCAATAAGACTTCCTTCCCACCTTGACTGAGCAATTTGTTCTTCGAGCTGTTCATTCTATTCCTGATGCTGTCATTCATATAGCCAAAGACTTGCTCTTTAGATCTTGTTATAACCATAGGGAGCCCCAGATATTTTACTTGAGTTGCAACCTGAATTGTGCCAAGACTCTGACTCACTTCCTCTTTCTTCTGTTGACTCACATTTTTACTGAAGAACATTGACGACTTTTCCAAGTTTATGGATTGACCTTAGCCTCTCTCGTACTTCCTCAGAATTTGTGTGAGTTTCTTGACTTCCTCTCTTTCTGTTTACAAAAAATTAGAGAGTTATCTACAAAAAATAGGTGACTCATACTCGGTCCATTCCTGCTTATTTTCATCCCTGAGATCCTTTTGTCCATTTCTGCTTGCTTTAGTAAGTTAGAGAACCCCTCTGAGCACAAAAGGAATAGATATGGTGATAGGGGGTCACCTTGTCTGATTTCTCTTTATGGAGTTACATACTCCTTTGGTACGGTAGGAATTTTTTGTGGGAGAACTTATGTTAAAGATTTACTCCATAATTTAGTGGGATGTGTAAATCATGTACATTGATGTAATTGTAAACAAAAGGTTCAGGATCAATTGTACAGTAATTATAGAAAATTGCAACTAAGGCCAATTGTACTTGTCCCCAATTCGTGTTCGACGGGGATTCGGCACGGGATCCACTCCTGTCAAGTTACGATAATTGCAATAGCATATACAACTTATTATATAATTTCAACGGGGGTTACAATTAATTTTGTAAGAAATCAGAAAACTGTCACGTGGAGGCCTCCCCGGGTTGGAGGCATCAGCTACACTACTATTATCTAAGATTTGGGCTAATTTCTGATTAAGTCGGCAATGGGATCGAACTATCCTCGTTTGAATTATTATTAGAAAAAATCATTCAAAACGTTTCTTATATTTTGTAAAATAACTTTTTCATCCCTCACTTTTAAAAGTTTAATTTACGTTCGTTACAAATTCACATTGGTTAAATTTAATTTATATCTAGGTTTTTGACTAGTTTTTTGTCAGAATCCAACACGTGCCTTGCACATGATCATGTTTTAAAGGCAAAAATGTCAAATTACATTTCACATAATCCGATTTATATGTATGAATAGCTTCTTCTTTTTTTCAAATCCATGTATATGTCTATTTGATTTCACTTGAATAGTACAAATAGCATGTAATATATCTCTATTTGATTTCACGTACAACTACAATTAGTTTGTTCAGATAAAATCAAATAGAGATATATTACATGCTATTCATATTGTTCAAGTCAAATTAAATAGACATATAAATGGGGTTTCAAAAACAAGAAAAAATTATTTGTACACATGATCAATAAGGGATGAAAGAATTCATTTTGTGAAATATGAAGGACGTTTTGAATGATTTTTCTTAATAATAAGTCAAGAGTCATTTCTGTTCCTATAGAAATAGGGAAAAAATGTCAATATTTTTGTAATTTCAAATACAAGTTAGAATGTTGGTGTAAATAACCCGCTAGAAAGCCACAATGGAACCACCAGATGTTTGTTGTTTTATAGTATTGAAGAGGTGATTTTTGGTGGGTAACTAGACCGACCTAAATCAGTCCTCTCTCGAATGAGGTGAAGTGATTTTACTTGTCCGAAGTGGATGGCGGGGCTTCTCCCCTGGGATCACTCCGACGATTAAGTTAGTATGAGAACGAGAGAAAAACAATTGTATATGTGAATAAACAGTATGCTTACTTGTTGGGTGTACATAAAGGGTATTTATAGAGCAGGAGTGGATGTCAGGACGGAGGGCTCATGTTAGCGGGACCCATGTCCTACCATGACGGCTCTGTTCCCTGTCAGGAGGCCTGACTCTGACACTGTAGCCGTCTGGGCAGGGTGACGGGGAACTCTGCATAGTAGCCATTAAGAGCGTCGGGTGCTTTTCAAATAAAGCACTGGCCCCTGATGATGTCATGCAGTTTGACATCATCAGCGCGTAGCCGAGGTGGAAGTCGGAGGTGCAGAGGTCATCTAAGCAGGAGGTCAGGAATCTGGCCGAGCTCAGGGGTAATGCTCGGGACATGACTGCGCTCGTGTGAGGGACGAACCGAGGTCACCTCGGCACCACGGCATGGCCGAGGTGAGCATCCTCAAGTATGATACAAACAAGGAGATGAAGGGTTATGCTATGGATACATCACACACATAACTTGTTTCTAATTTTTGGGTCCGTGATTTCGGCCTATATTTTTGTCTATAGATGTAACTTATTCAAAAACTTTGTTCCTTTCTTTCCAAATGGAACTACTTACTTGGAGTATGTAAGCATAAAATAAGTTTATCAAAAGGTAGACATCCAATTTTGAGAATGCACGAGTTGGCCATCGCAAACAATTGATTCAAATTTTTCTTATTTTCTTTCGGGGTGATAAAATAGAGAGTGGACTTTTAAGAAAATAATGACTCATAATTGTTTAATGTTTGAAATGAATTCTAGCACTGCATAACTTTTGTAAATTCCAATTGACTTGTGTTTCTTTCTAACCAAATTATTTGGTATCAAAGCCATATGCTTTACTCAAAGCAGTTGTCTTGGGCTGAAATAATCCCCTTTATTTATTATATAGATGACTTCCCTAATTAATAATATTAGTTGTTAATTGTATACATTAGTTATGAAACTTTCGAGAATTTAGTATGCTACATTCCAATCCTAAGAAGATTTCGTTTGCTTGAAGGGCAGATTTACGAGTTTTAAGGTCGACACAAATTCCATGTTATTTTCGATTTCCTACGATTATCCTTTTAATACACCTTTGAAATTCTAGTAAGATCTTATAAAAAATGGGTTTGTAATCCATGAAAAAGAAAAAAAAAAAGAAAAAGAACCCGTAAAATATTGCTAAAATATGAACTAATAATCTTATTGAGATAAGCTAATCCAGTTCGAAACGAATTTGTTTCTCATGCATTTCACAAATTAGAGAAAACTAGTTGGGAATGACCTCCAAAAGAAGATTTCGAACATTAACCCTACTTTTTAAGAAACTTTTTTGCAAATGAACTTTAAATAAGTTTGATTATTTGATGGTTAAATAAACCGCATTTATTGAGTTCTATAAGATATTCCAACTTTGAAAACAATGTTGTGATTCTTTTCCAGAATAAGTTTATTCTAGTGTCAAGTTGATGCTTCTCAAATTGTTTGCCGGCTCTTAAATCTTCTGTTGGAGGAAACTCCAAATTAATGCCGACTACTCGATCCAATGAAATAATTTGTCTGGGCTCTAAAAGTATGGAAATGGAAGAATCGAACACTTTAACTTGCATGAATTATAATCCCTGCAATTAACCTGTTCTAAGGAACCATTTGTGAAATTCTCTGATTGGAAAACCATGAAAGCAACTGCAATTTTCATTCTTCTCCTCCTCTTTAGGCTTGCAATATTCTCCCATGCAGCCACCAAAAATACAAAGGTAATGGATAAATTAAACAAAGTCATTGCCCTTTTGCCTTTCTTACTTTTTCCCCCCTTCTCTGTGAGTGTGGCTCCATTCTTGGGGGAAGCTCAAATGTAGAAAGTAGAAACTGGAGAAAAAGGAAGCATGCAAAAACTGATACTCAATATTTTGCTGCATCAAGGAAGCCAGTTTCAACTTCAGTGTGGGTTTCTTTCTCTCCTTTTAAGGGGGGATTTTTTTTTGGTTATTTTTCTTTTGGTTTAATTCTGACAATGTTCGATCGATCGACTAATAATTCTCCATTTCTTGTAAGCACAAAGGACTAATCTTGACAAAATTATGTGATGTTGCAGCACTATATTGTATACATGGGATATCACAAACACCCCAACTCGGAATCTGTCATCAAAGCTAACCATGAGATGCTCACTTCTGTGACTGGAAGGCATGTACATATACATATATTTGAGCTTCCCCAGATGTCTCGTTTTTTCAAGTTGTTGGTAGAGAATGACAAAATGCTGAAAAAACCAGGAGCTTCCACAAGATTTCTACTTCCTTTGGTGACAATTGTAGAAGTGAAATAATTGTAATTCCATTTTCAGTTTCCAAGAAGCGAAAGAGGCGACGATTCACCATTACACCAAAAGCTTTAGAGGATTCTCCGCCAGGCTAACGCCAGAACAAGCTCGAAAACTGGCAGGTCAGATTTTTTTTTTTACATTGACAGTTATAAGCATAGAGGTATTGTCATTTGATTATTTCACCTGATTCTAGATTATGATTTTTCGAACATCAATATTTTTTATGTTCTTCTTCACTTTTGTGCCTAGTTATTACATTTTTTTTTAATCGGCAATAAAGATAAAATTTATAGTTTACCCAAAAGTAACTTTTCCTTTTATTTTGATTAACTAATTTTTTGCAAAATCTACTGCAACAAAAAAAAAAAAGGCAGCATATATTAACTAGGGAAAATCGTTCAAAATGTCCCTTAAATTTCGCCAAATGAATTTTTTCATCCTTTATTTTTGAAATAGTAACTTTACATCTCTTATAAAATTAAATCAGTAAAATTTGATTCCAACCTAAGTTTTCGATTACTTTTTATCCTAAATCCATCATGTGATTCACATATGATCATTGTTTAGGAGTAAAAAAGTTAGATTTTATTTGTAGTTAAATATATGACCTAATTCATATTCATTTTTGTTTCTAAAAATGTTCGATCCAACCTGAATCATATTTATTTTTTCCCTATAAAAGTGAGATTTGACCCACTCTATATTCATTTGTGCCATTAAAAAATGGGATATGATATTTTTGTATATAAAAAATGACTATATGTAAGTCACGTAATGATTTCATGTTGAAAAGTGGTCGGAAACTTCGATTTGGATCAATTTTAGTTAAGTTAAATTTATAAGGGACGTAAAATTAATATTTTAAAAATGAATGACAAAAAATATTTAACGAATTATAAGGGACGTTTTAAACTATTTTTACTGATAACTCATATGATCTTCTTGATAATCTACTGCAGAGTATGGTACACTATAGTTGAATTTACGTCACTTACATTTATTAAAACTTTTGCGCAGAAAGTGATTCGGTTACTTCGGTATTCGAGAGTAGGGAATACAAGATCCATACAACCCAATCATGGGACTTTCTGGGACTGGATTCTGCTCAACAATACAATCAGCTGCCAATGAACGTAAAATCGGATGTAATAGT